CTGGTCACCGGGCTGCTCCGCCTGCATGGGCTGCCCGCCGTCCAGGCCTACATGGCTCACATCCAGGTGGGTCCCACCACCCCTCATCCCCCCAGCAACCCCCGCCCACCCTGACCGCCCCGTCCCTAGGCCAACGCCGAGGTGGCCGTCAGGGAGATGCTGAAGGACTTCGCTGCGCGCTGGGGCTCGGCGGTGGAGGCCGAGGACAGCATGGACGATGGCTCGCCCATCCGGCTGCGGGTGCAGGTGGACCCCCAGGAGGTGAGCGGGGGCCTCGGGATCGGGGGGATCCACCCTGGCACCAGGTTACCCCTCCAACAGCACCAGGATATCCCCCAGCACTGGGTTCTCCCCAGCATCAGGATCCCTCCTGCACCAGGATCCTCTCCAGCCCTGGGATGCCCCCTGGACCAGGAATAACTCAAGATTCCCCCTCCCACCCCATTCTCATGATCAACCCTGGCCCTGCAATCTCCCTCAGCCCTAGGATGCTGAAGATTCTCCTTCTGGCCCTGGGATGTAGGAGATCAACCCCAGCCCTGGGATCCCCCCCAGCCCTGGGATGCCCCTGGCCCCGAGATGCTAAGGATCTCCCTGGTTCCAGGATTCTCTCTGGCCCGGGGATCTCCCCCAGCCCCAGGGTGCTGGAGGCCCCCTCAGTCCCAGGATTCTGCTCTGAGCCCTAGGATGTGGGAATTCCCCCCCCAGCCCCAGGATGCCAGAGATCTCCCTCTGGGCCTGGGATGAGATTTCCTCCACCCAGCCCTGAGATCCCTTCACCTCACCCCCCCAGGGATGGTGTTGGAGGATCCTCCCCAGCCCACCCCTGGTCATCACTGTCCCCCCCAGGGCAGTGCCATCTTTGACTTCTCGGGCTCGGGGCCGGAGGTGTACGGGAACTGCAACGCCCCCCGCGCCATTACCCTCTCGGCCCTCATCTACTGCCTGCGCTGCATGGTGGGACAGGACATCCCCCTCAACCAGGTGGGGCAGGACCCCCAGCACAGAAGAACCCCCTCTGTGGGACCCCCCAGCTGTGGGACCCCTCCGCAGAGGACCCCTGGGCTGCAGGATCCCCCAGCTGCACAAATTCCAGCCTGTGGGACCCTCTGGGATGCAGAACAGGGGGTCTGGGACTCCGATCCCTTGGGACAGAGGGAGACCTGAGACACTTTTTACCTGGGAGTGGGGGCTCTTGGGACCATGGGGTCTGGAACCCAAATCCCCTGGGACAGGGAGAGTCTGGGGCCCTGATCTCTTGGGGTAGGGGGGGTCCTGGGAAACTTTTTCCCTTGGGATGTGTGTCTGGAACACTGATCCCTTGAGGTAGGGGTCCTGGAACCCTGTTCCCTTGGGACAAGAAGGGGCACAGGGGCTCGGGGTGCTGCCAGATCTGTGGGGGTCCACCAGGGCTGACAAGCCACCTGCTTCCCCCCAGGGCTGCCTGGCCCCTGTGCAGGTGGTCATCCCCAAAGGCTCCATCCTGGACCCCTCGCCTGAGGCTGCTGTGGTGGGGGGCAATGTCCTGACCTCCCAGCGTGTGGTGGATGTCATCTTCAGGGCCTTCGGCGTCTGTGCCGCCTCCCAGGTAGGGACTGGGGGGACGGGGAAGTCTGGGGGGTTGGGGATCCTGGGGGTTGGAGGGCCCAGCGTGCTGGGAGGTCCAGGGGTCAGGGGTCCTGGATTGCTGGGTATCCAGCATCCTGGGGGTCCTGGGAGTCAGGTAGTCCCAGAGGTCCAGGTTTTGGGGGTCCCAGTGGTGGGGAGTCCCAGGTGTCAGGCATCGTGGGGTTCCCAGGGGTCAAGGGTCCTGGTTTGCTGGGTGTCCAGAATGCTGGGGGTCATGTGGGTTAAGGGTCCCAGGTGCCAGTGGTTCAGGAGTCCTGAGATACTGGGAGTCCTGGGTGACAAGGATCCCAGGGTTTGGGAGTCTTCGAGGTCCCGGGGGTCAGGAATCCCAGGGTGCTAGATGTGCCAAGGTTGGGGGTCCTGAGGTACCAGGTGTGCCAGGGGCCAGGGGTCCTGGGCATATCCAGGGGTCTTGAAGGTCTTAGGCATCTGGGCTCCTGGGTGTTTGGGAGCTGAGGTTCTGAGGTGTCAGGGCTCCCAGGAATCCAGAGTGCTGAAGGTTCTGGGGGGCCAGGGGTTGCAGGGTTTGCCAGTCCCACGGGGTCAGGGGTGCTGGGGGTCCATCCCAGGGGTTGGGGGTTCCAGGGTGTTGAAGGTCCTGGGAATCCCAGGGGATGGGGGTCCTGGGGCTCAGGGTCTGGGGACCCAGGGATTG